GAAAAGCCTATGGGACGTTATTATCAATTAGAGTAACGACACTAACAAAAAACGCGAAATATGATCGATTCGTGGTCTCTAAGTAGATCCCGATATTACTAATCTAAGTTAATACTGTATCCTTAAGTCTCTGCAATTTAAAATTGATTCACTTTTCCAATCTATCTATGATATTTCTTCATAAATAATTAATGGGTACAAATGCTAGTAGTTTTTCATTAGTAGAATACAGATCTACTTATAGGCAAAGTACGAGCTGACAGTTTAATTATTTTCCTTGTCAGTTGCTTCTATGTAAACAATTAGATACTGGAACCTTAAATGCAAGAAAGATGGAATGTCTCTCGTTGAGTAAGCTAAAGTCTACTAATATTCTAAGCTTGTAAGTTCAAAAATCAGAACTCGCTTTCAATTGTTTATTATATTTACATATACTCTCTCCTCATATTTGCTAAAACTATTCATCAACAAAAATTTTATTTAATATAAAAAATAAAAGATCACACTTTTTTTATAGATTTACTCATAAACAAAGCTTTTAATACTTTCAAACAGTAATTAGAAATGCTTGATAGAATATTATACGTTGAAAGGCTATGATTCTATAAAATGCATCAACTAACGACAAAAAATATTATTGGATTACTTCATGTCAGCATTTTACCTACGAACAATCTCTTTGATAAAAAACAATATAGATATATCATTTATACATTTTCTATTAATAAACATTCTATATTATACAAATTAATAAAATATTTGATATTGATTTTATTTATTTTTCTAATTTTTTGCATAAAAATTGGTAGATACAATCTCAGATATATAAATATATTATGTTTATTTAGATTTGCAAATGCAATCTTTTTAAATTCTTTCAAAAATATAATAATTCACGCAATTTCTTAATTCTCTACATTAATGATTGTAAAATTTTTATTTCATTTTATTTGTTCCATTGGTCGATTTTTTCGTAAAATTTTTCAAACGATTTTTGGAAGACGTCATGAAGAACTTGGAGTATCTCTATCAAAAACTGAACCAGTCACACTTGAACATATTCGAATAATAAGTGATATGGAAAATGATTCTAGTCGTCCTTATCAATCATTTACTTCAGTTCCAAAAGTAAAATTCAATAGATTATATCATATTCAATGAATTATTCTTTCTTTTTTCTCTTAAATTAGATACCAGCAGCAGAATGGAATTCTTGGGGTAGAGAAGATATATTTCGGCAAAAAAATGATTCACAAATAAATGAAAAAAATGATGAACAAATTGATTATTTTACTGATATTGCAGCAACCGTGAAAAAAACACCTAAAGTAATAGATTATTCTATTCAATTATGTATAAAATATTCATAATTTAGATTATATTAAAAAAACGTCTAAATGAAAATGATAATCATTTAAATACAAATAATCAACATCCTAGTCGATTACAAATGACAAATGATGATTTACTTGATTTTGTAAGTTAAAATAATTTTGTTTTTTGAATAATTTTTTTCTCTTTTTTAGCAACCTGGTCTTAATGAATGGCAAGAAGATGGTATTCAATCATCAACAGTAGGCAATAGTACTTGGGATGATAATGATGATTTTAATGAACTTTCACAAGAAGCAAATGAAGCTCTACGAGGTATTAGAAAATGAATAGTAAAAAATATGCTTTTTATTTTTGTTTTATATAGAAACTCGTCGTATTGAACGTGAAAGAAAATTACGTGAACATCAACAAAGAAAACTTGAAAAAGAAGCATCAAGAACGTTGCCACATAAACGTGACAATTTATCCTAATTTTTTTCTTTTTTTTTTTATCTGTTATATTTACTGTTCTATATTGATTATTGAATATAAGAATCTCATAAACCAAATATTGATCTTCTATAGACATGCAATTGGAATAGAAAAGAATTTCACATAATTCATAAATGATGATATATATATTCATTCTGTTTCTTAGAATACCAACTTAATTATTCTATGAGTTTATCTATTCGATATTTTCTTACATACATGCATGTCTACATGTTATGGCATGCAACGGAATAATAAAGAGCTCATAGTTGTTGAGTTTGATCGGCGATCATTGTAGAAGCATCCAAGAATGGTTTCATGTTCTTCTTCCCTTTTCTTTTTCTCTCTCTCTCTCTCTCTTCCCTATACTCAAACAATGCAATGTGCAAGCGTTGTATTCAAGTAGCTCTTTAACTGAATCGTCGATCTATTATTGCGATCCCACCACACATCACCACTCAATAATCTCACACTACTAACCAATAAATCGATAGAGTATACAGGAATGTTTTTGAATGCTTTTCTCACACCAAAGAAAAATATAGATTATGTTTCTCATTTTCTTCCGCCTTTATTTCTTTTTCCTTGAGAAAGATAAGATAACATACACATGTTTTATATAAAAGCATAATTGTGTATGAGGAAATATATATATATATAAATAAAGTCTCAGCTATTATTCCCGCATGTGCTATATCTTATGTGTGTGTATATAAACAATGTCAAGCTCTACAAAACATCGATACAAGGCTTTTTTTTTCTTCATGATTTGACACATATATAAATAAAGATAATCTTTTGTAAAGAGTAAATCAGTTCTATCTAATAGCATAACATCGTTAGCTATTGTTTAAGTAGGTACTAATCGAAGTCCTCGAATAGAAATAGACATTTTCTTCTTCTTCTTCTTCTTATATACTCAATAAAAGTCGTTTACATAATCTTAAAATGATAGAGTTCAGAGAGAGAGAAAATGAGAATCATTATCATATTGATAAACTCCTACCGTTTATAACGACAGGGAAGAAAGATTTGTCGTTATTACCGGAAAAAATACTTTGAGAAAACTAATGATGTATGCGTATGTGTGTTCGATCGACTCAAGTATGTAGATGCTTGATAAAAAGAAATAACGTGATGCTTTACATAGCAACATGTTGGAGTAATTAAGCTGGGAGAATAGTAGATAACTAGTTTATTTCTCATTTCCCTTTTTTCTTTTTCTCTCTCTCTCTCTCCCTCGCTCCTTCTTTTACCGCGACTTACACCGGATTTTTGCATGACAAACGGTTGAAGAGACTTTTAATGAAAGACGTAAGTAACTAGATTAAAATGTTACCAATGCTCTTATTCTCGTACTATAATTAACATATATTAAATATAAAACTGTCTGATCAAATTTATGAGATTTTTAAAAATACATATTATAGAAACTAAACAAGATCAATGCGCATCTTATATATATATATATATTAATTTGCTTTCGTGTTCATCTATGATGACAACTAATGTTAACTTAGTATCTCGATTTTAATTTGCATTTTGGCTTCGACGACGGTTAACAAAAATTCTGTTAACAAACGACTCTCTAGTAATCAATTCTTATCATTCTTTCTTTCTTTTTTTCTTCGTCTGTTGTTTGTCGATGCGACCAATTATACTATTCTAGGTTTGTAGTAACACTAAGATCTTGATCATGAACAAAGCGAGGAAAAAAAATTTTTTCTTATTTTTATCTGAATCATCTAATAATAAGAAGAAGAGAGAGAGAGAGAGAAAGAAAAATCGGTCGTTCTTTTTCCTTTATCTTTTTCAAACACATAGACACATTCAACGAACAGTGGACACATTTTTTTTTTTTCTTCTTTTTTTGCTCGATTAGTAATAATGATGACATGATGCACACTTGAGAGGAAAAAGCGTGGTGGAAATATACAAAATAATAAAAATGATCCATGAATCTAAGACACTACTTTCGGATCGACGTCAAAGAACGGAAGCCAGTTTTGTAAGAAATCACGATTGATAAGATAATGAAATAAAATCTGTTTTTATTATTGTAGGGTCCGAGGAGGAGAGTCGATTCAGTTGAACAATCACCAGCTATGATATCTAAACAACAAGAACGTGCTACAACTGGTTTTGGTTCTGAATGTAAGTTTTGCATTCGTTTCAATTTCTATTGATTACAATAGAGAACGAATATATATATATATATGTAATCTAATAAATATGCTAACTAATTGTATTTTAAATTGATTTTAACATATAATTTGATTATTATTCGTTGTTTTTTCTATTAGATGATATACGTAATACACAAGAAGGCCTTGGTACATGTGGATGGATATTAGTTGCATTTTCTTATGTCATATGTGTTTTAACTTTTCCATTTTCACTTTGTGTCACAGTCAAAGTAAGCAGAGAATATAGTAGAAAAAAAACGAAATATTAATTATGAACAAAAAATAGGTTGTACAAGAATATGAAAGAGCAGTTATTATGCGTCTTGGTCGAATACTTTCAGGTAAGAATGAGAAAAGCAAATCAATTTAATATAATGATATTAAAATAGGTGGTGCCAAAGGTCCTGGTTTATTTTTTGTTTTACCTTGTGTTGACTCAATTATTAAAGTTGATTTACGTACGAGTAAGTGACAAAGATATTTAAATTGCTTATGGTTGTCATAAAATCTATAATTATATTTTCGAATCTCACGAGACTTGATAATCGAATGTTTCCTGTTTCTTTTTCTGTTATAGTTACCTTCGATGTCCCTCCACAAGAAATTCTCACAAGAGATTCTGTCGTATGTTATTAACAAAAATCATTTCATACATAGAATTTATTTTCTCTAGACTGTATCAGTTGATGCTGTTGTTTATTTTCGAATATTTAATCCAATAATAAGTGTAACTAATGTAGAAAATGCACGTTATTCAACACAATTGCTTGCTGCAACAACACTTCGTAATATTTTGTAAGTATTTTTCTACATTAAAAAAAAGACATTAAATTTAATGATGAATTATTTTAGAGGTACAAAAAGTTTACAAGAAATTTTATGTGATCGAGAACAGATTTCACATTCAATGCAAGCTCATCTAGATGAAGGAACAGATCCATGGGGTGTAAAAGTTGAACGTGTAGAAATGTTTGTTTTCTCAAAAGAATTAAATTTTCGATTTTTATTGATTATTTTTTTAGCAAAGATGTTCGTCTACCTGTTAATATGCAACGTAGTATGGCTGCAGAAGCTGAAGGTTAGGAATTTAGTATTGAGTTATTCATAAGATTAAATTGTATTGAAATTTTTTTAAGCTGCACGAGAAGCTCGAGCGAAAGTAATTGCAGCTGAAGGTGAACAAAAAGCTTCGTGGGCTTTAAAAGTAACTATTTATTAATCAAATAAATTATAAAAAAAACAAACTATTTCAATTTTTAGGAAGCTGCAGATGTTATCAATGAAAGTCCAATAGCACTACAATTGAGATATTTTCAAACGTTAACACATATATCAGCAGAAAAAAATTCAACAATTGTTTTTCCGATTCCCGGTAAATTTCTTCGATATTTTTCAAATTATTTATATTATTCTTTGCTCTTTTAGTTGAACTATTAAGATTAATGAAAAGTCGAACTAATAATAATAATGTACATGTAACGAATGATTTATAATGACTGAATCTGTGATTGTTCATTTTATATTTGCATAAAAACAATAAATAAATGAAAAATATTAGTTTTTCTTTATTCAGTTTTGTCTTTTTCAGTATAATATCGATCGTAAAGATATGAAACCAAACCAAATCGCGCCCATTTTGTTACAATTGTCGTCGCAGTTTGTAATGCTGGATTCGAAAGAAGAGATGGAGCAGGTTGTTGTTGTTGTTCTTCTTCTGGATCATCTTTGATTAATGTTAATACACGTGTATCACGTTCTTGATTAATATGTTTCATAATATCATCGATTAATTGTGGAAAATCATACTTTGTCTTATCTTTTGTATTAATAAGATAAAGAGTGAGATTTGTCATTGAGAAACTTGTTTCAAGATTTCGAAAACAATTATTACGAATAAGATCGAGAACATTAATTACATTGAAATTACCTGGATAATCACGACGATGATTTCGTAATTCTTCATCAATACCAGTACGAACGAAAAAAAGTGTTTTATTAAAACGATCTCGAACAATATCACTTAACCATAAATCAATTTCAGTAAAACGTCCACGAGATAATATAAGAAACATATCATAACGATTTATATCAATTAATTTACAATAATCATTCTTAGTTATTGATGGAGTTGCAACACCAGGTACATCCCAAATGAAAACATTATCCATTAATTTATAAGATGTTGGTATTAAAGTTGTTTCAATGACCCCAACAGGCGCGGAATCTGTCTGTTCAGACGATACATCAAGAATTGAATTACATAATGAACTTTTACCTACACCTGACCGACCAAGTATAGCAATATGATAAGGTGCATTCGGTGGGCGATATTTAACACTCATCGTAAACGATCTAGAATGAATAAGAAAATAATAATTAAATTATTGCTCGAAAAGAAAACTTAAGCACCAAGGAAAAATAGAGTCGATATATATTTATAAAATAGGAAAAAAAAGACAAGATTAAATTAATGCTTGTCTTTGCTGTTGTTGTTCTTGAATCATTTGATCTGATGCATTCATAATAACATCGATAATTTTTAATGATGCTTGTTGCATACGTATTAAAATTTTATATAGAACAACATAACAAACTCCAAATGATAGTGTCGATACAATTGCTGTTCCAACATATGGTACATATCGAGCAAATTGTCCCGTAGTTGTACCAATCGCTTGTTTTTTTGCAAAATCAAAAACAAATGATCGTAAAGAATTTAAATATTGTATTGGAAATACTTCATTTAGTTCTTTTTCGATTTTATCCATTGGTATTCGATAAACTTGAGATAGTTTTAAAAGTGCAGCTTGATCTAATCCAAGTTGTTTCTTATAGAATTCAACTTCATTCATAACTAATGTTGCATCAAAACCAAGTGAAAGAAATGGAACAGGTATAACAGCAACAGCTGCTGATGCTGATGCAATAAGCCATATACGACGATAGAGTGTAGCAACTTTAGCTACTAAAACTTCTTTACACATAACTGACATTGATAAAATCATTGATTCACGTTTTAATGATGGATAATTACGTAATAATGTTTCATTTAATTTTCCGAAATCAAAACGTAAACGATTTTTTAAATGACCTGATATAAGAAATACTTCAGCATTTGGATCAACAGATCGAATATATTCAAGAGAATTATTTCGAATACGTTCTAAAATATTTTCTTCGTTGTATGTACTTGGATGATCTTCATATTCATTAAATAAATCGGAGTCAATATTTGTGCGAATAAATACAAATCGTTTGTTATTTTGTTTTACTTCAGATGCAAGCCATAAATCATTTTCTAAAGTTTAATAAAAGAAATTTTTTCATGTTTAGAATAATAGAAATCTTCGTACCGGTAAAACGAGTTCGACAAAGAATTAAAAAGAAATCATATCGTTGGAATTGAATCTTTTCTAAATAACAAGAACGAGGATAATTGGGTGTTCCAACACCTGGTAAATCCCATATTTTTAAATTTGAAAATTCTGGATGTTCATATGGTTTTGGTTCATTCGTTGTTTCGACAACTCCAACCGCTGCAGCACCATCATCTTCAGCATCTAAACCACGAAAACAATTAATAAATGTTGATTTACCAACACCACTGAAATAAAAAACAAAGTTGTAGAAATTAAATTTCGATTATTTTCAAACCTTGATCCAACAACGGCAATATCTAATGGATGTTGTCTCCATGCATCCAATCGTTGAGATAAATATGTATCTAAACCATTAACTCCATTTTTCTAAAGATATTAAATGTAAAATAAACATAAAAATAGAAATGAAACTAACATGAATAAATTGTTCAGTTGCTCTTATTTCTTCATCAGTTATGAATTGAAAATTTCCACCTGTTGTAATCGTTTCAACAAATGGTTCACGATAAAAAAATTGTTCAAAATCCGAAAAATTCATTTTATAATCTTAAATATAAAAAAAAGAAAAGTTAGAGAAAACTTTGATTATTTAAATTACAATAATATCAACAACAGCAAAAAAAGAAAAACTGTTATAAATAAATATTTTTAAATAGGTTCATCATCATCTTCATCATCACTAACACTTCGTTCAGCAACAATATCAATTAATGTAAGTGCTGCTTTTTCCATAACATTTAATAAATTTCTTAAAACAGATAAGATTATTGTAAATGATACAGTTGCACAAATAGCTGAACCAACATATGGAACATATCGAAGAACTTCTTCCGTTGCTGTTCCAACTGCTTGTCGTTTTACTAGGGAGACAACAAAATCGGGTACAGCTGTAAAAAAATGTGCTGGTAAAATTTTTTGTAATTCATCTTGAATAACATATACTGGTATATGATGAATTTCAGCAATACGTGCTAATGATTCATCATCTAAACCTAATTGTTTCTTGTAAAATATAACAAAACCAACCGTTAATGAAAAATCAAACATAATACTTAAACCAGGTATTGGTGGACTTGCAACAGCAGCACTAACAGCTGCTGCTACCCATGTTTGACCACGAAGTATATCAACTTTTGCTCTAATAACTTCTTTACAATTCGATGACATAGCTAATATCATGGCTTGACGTTTTAAACCTGGATAATCTCGTAAAAGTGATGAACACATAAGAGGAAAATCAAATCTATACAAAATAAACTTATTGATCTATATTAATTCAAAAAAACAATCTACTAACCGAGATGTATAATTAAGTCGTCCACTAATTAAAAAAGCATTTGCAGTTTCATCAACTGTTCGTATATGTGCAAGACAATTTTCACGAATTCTATCAAGTACTAATGTTTCATTATAAGTTTTTGGATGATCAATTTTTTCATTATATAAATCTTGATCAATATTTGTACGTATAAAGAAAAAATGTTTACCAATTTTCTGTATTTCTGTTGCAAGCCAAAGATCATTTTCAGTAAAACGTGTACGAGAAATAATTAAAACTAGAAAAAGAAACTACTTGAGATGAAATAATTAAATCAGAAGAGAAATCTATACAAAAATCATATCGAGAAAGATTAACTTGATTTAAATAAGTTGATTTTTTAAATTCCAATGTTCCAACACCTGAAATCATACATGATGAAGTAGAACGGAAAATAAGATTAAAAATAACAAACCTGGTAAATCATAAAAAACAAGATTAGGATAACTTGGATGTGAATAGGATAGTATAGTTCGTGTTGTTTCAACTACACCAACTTTAGCTGCACCTTCATCCTCTAGAATATGAGTATTAATTAGAAACTACAGAGAAAGTTTCTAAAGTTAATAGAAGAAAATTAAAATCATGTTGTTATTGTCAAGTTTTGACAAGAATTCTACATATACGTACAGTTGCAAAATTTCTAGAGATTGACATATTCTATATACTTCATTAATATGTCATATATTCAATATTTACCTGCTCGAAGATTACGTAATGTATTGATTAAAGTTGATTTTCCTGCTCCTGAATCACCGGTGATTGCAATATTTAATGGACTAAATAATAAAAATCTTCTAATAGAAAAAAAATCATGAGTAAACAAACCATTTTCTCCATGCATCTAATCGTTCTGCAAGAAAACCTTCAATACCACGTATTCCATTTTCACTAAGATATTTTTGTGCTGCTAATTTATCATCTTCTGATAAATCTATTAAATCATAGTCAAGTGACTTTACATCGTAACTAGTTGCCATCTTATAATAACGATTCAATCAGTCAATCATCTAGAACAAGAATGATTCATCGATGATACATTTTATTTATTCTTTTGCTTTCTACATGAATGAAATGAAAGACAAAAATAAGAAACATTATTTACAAAATAATATGACAAAAAATATATATATATATGTATATTTAAAATCCGTTATTATCTGACATAGTTGTTTGATTTTGTTGAAGATCTGTACTATGATGATCAATATGTTCAGTCATGGTAACATCATTTTCATCTTGACTTTGACTAGGATTTGTTTGTTCTTGGGAAGACCTTAATTGAAGTAAAAAATAGAAACTAATTAATTAATTTTTTTTTATAGAAACTAAAATTTACATGAGATGTGATTTTTTTCGTTCTTCTAATTTTTTAGCAAAAAGTGCTGGACGAAGTGATGCTGTTTGAGAACAATTATTAACTTTATAAATTCCAATAAGATAATCAGCAAGTGTAAACATATTTTCACGTAATGATATAACAATAAATTGTGCCTAAAAATAATTCATAATAAAAAAAATTTTGTTTATTAAAATTAAAATGATAATTTACATTTTTTGTACGTTCTTTTATAAATCGACCAACAATTGAAACATTTTTAAAATCAAGCGCAGCATCAATTTCATCCATAACATATATAGGTGTTGGACGAAATGTATGTAAAGCAAAGACAAATGCTAATGAACTTAACGTTTTTTCACCACCAGATAAATTACAAATACGTTTCCAAGATTTTTTAGGTGGTCGAATACTATGAAAAAAGAATATAAATACAATGAGAAAAAAAGTAAGAAATTAATTTACCTTAATTCAACACCATCAACAAATGGATCATTACTTGAACAAAATTCTAATTCAGCATCACCACCATCTGTAATTGTTCGATAGATATGTTTAAGTGTACGTGAGATTTGATCGAAACCAGCTCGAAATTCCGTTTGACGTTGTTCATTAAAACAATCACGTTTTGCACGAATATGATCACGACGTGTTTCAAGTTCAACAAGATCTTTTTGTCTCATATTTAAATTACGATTCTTTAAATAAAAATATTTTAATAAAACAAAAAAAAACAAATTATCTTACAGCACGACGATGTTCACCAATAGCAGTTAGATTGCAATGTGTTTGTTTAAGTTCATTTTCACGTTCTAATGTTGCTGCAACTAAATCTTTCATTGTATAAACATCAAGATCGGACCGATCATATTTTTGTATTGGTACTTCTTTAAGAAAATTGTTCGATGCATTATCATCAAATGTATCATCTTCATCATCAATAACATGACTTAAACGTAATCCATTTATCTCGACATCAATAACGCTAATTTCATGTCGACATTGACCTAATTCTTTTTGTGCTGCTTCATATTCATGTTTTAAATGAATGATTTCTTTTTCAATATCAGCTAATTCAGCTTCTGTTGTTCGTATTGTTTCACGTAATTCCGCCATGTTTATTTTATTTGTTTCTAATTCTTCCTCGATATTGTTTTTCTTTTCATCAGCATTCTTTGCTAATTCTTCAAGTTTTTCTAATCTTGTATTGAAATCTGCACGTTTTTTTAATATTTGATCCATAGCTGTTTGATTAGCTTTTATTTTATCTTGACTCTTTTTTAAATTACTAAATAAAATCAAAATAAAATAAAGTAGGACTCATAATTATTTTTTTTACCGTCGAGCATTTGTTATTTCAACATTTGCTGTATCGATTATATTTTGATATTGTTTTACTTGATTTATTGCATTATCAAGATCAGCTTGTGGTTTAGCTAGTGCAAGTTTATTATGATCATTAATACGTTTAGTTACACTAAAATGAATAAATAAAAATATTTTCTAAACGGAAAATAAAACTTACATATCGATTTCACTTTTTAATCCTTCAAGTTCATTATTCGCCGTATCATATTCTTCTTTTGTTTGTTGTAATTCTTCATCATATTTTTCTCGATCTTTTGTTGAAACTGTTTTCGATTCAACAAGTTTCTGTTGTTTCTCAACGGATAATTTTAATGTTTCAACATGATTTGGTAAATTCTATAATAACAATAAAGAAACATTAATAATTCTTTTCTTTCGAAAAATTTACTTTAAGATCATTTTTAATTTGAGTATGAATACGTTTTTCATCGGCTAATTTTTGTCTTAATTGTTTTTCTTCTGTTGTTAATTGAAAACGTTCTTGTTCAAGTTCAGTTAATTTTTCACCATCTTCTTTAACACTTTTTTCTAACTGATTTTTTCTTGCTGGATCAATTGTTATACTTTGTCGTGATGTTCGATTTCCAGCTGTTTTTAATGTCATTTTTCCATGTGCTTGATATGAACCACCACCCGACATTGTACCTGATTGTTCAATAATTTCACCTTTAAGTGTAACAACACGATAACGTGTTTGACCACCAAATGCAACTTTTTGTGCATCATCAATATTATCAACAACAAGTGTATCACGCAGAGCATAATAGAATGTATTTCTATAAACTGAATCATTTATATCGATTAAATCAAATAAACGATGTGTATTTGGTGCTAATTGTGGTACATCAAAACGACGACTGGCTTGTTGAGCATGTCGAAGCATTTTATCCATACAAATAAAACTACCAGTACCTTGTTTATGTTCTTTAAGAAGATTTTTTGCAGCTTCACCACTTTTAACATCATCAACAACATAATAATCAAGATAACCACCAGCTGCTGTTGAAATAGCAACATCATATTTACTATCAATACTAGCTGAAATAAACACAAACAATCACATTTAGTATTCAAAAATTAGAAAGAAGAAGAAGAAGAATTTTGAAATGAAGTTACTCATCATTTTTATTTTCTTTTATAAATAAATAGTTTTATCTATTAAAGATAAGCAAATATTTGAAAAACACTTCATATCATTGTCTATCAGAATAAGATCCAATCATAGACAAAAAATATTTTTTAAATAGTCTAGAAATTAATTAATGGACGTACCCAGGCATGTAGCGAACTCAAACAATTTAAGCATCGAAATGATTCTCCTGTTATATGTGGAGACATTTTAATAGGAATTATGAAGCATCAATCGAACTACGAATAGGGGTAGGACAGTTCACAGTTCCAAGTTCAGATGAACTGGACAAAAGAACTGCCATTACAGTTCCTTTCAAAAGAACTATTGAACAGTTTCCAAGAAGGGAACTAATATGGGACTGTCCTACCCCTAACTACGAACCATCCGGGTTCGGTTAATATTTCACAATTTCCTTTATTATGCCTCCACACATATCAGGAGAATCATTTCGGTACTTAAATTGTTCGTGTTCGGGTTCACTACATGCCTAGACGTACCAGATAATAAATAAGACAAAACGCAGCTATCTAATTTGATACATCTCGTATATTCGGTTCAAAGTCAAGAAAAAGTTGACTTTCGCATCTCTCTCACACTATGCTGTATCTGATAGAAATACATGTATATCAGCTGACTATGTCTTTTGTCTTACCGAGAGCGCCTAATCTTTGATGAAATCCTTGTAATTTTCCTTGTTGTTTTTGTCCAAGAAGAAAATTTAATGTTCTATCACGACTTTGTGTTGTTTGCTGTTGTGAATTCATATTATTAAGTTCAAGTTGATTTTGTCTAAAACGTTTATCAACAACGACATACTCTTCTTCGATATTTTTTAATAATTGTTCTTTTTCTTGATGTAATTTTTCTGTTTGAATTAATTGTTGATCAATATCATGAAATTTCTCTTGTTTTGTATTAAGTTCTTTTTGTTTATTTTCATAATCATTTTTCATTTCATTTAATGTATTTTTATGTCGTTCTTCTTCACTTAATAATAATTGTAAACGATTTTGTGCCAGATCATAATCTTTTTTTTTATTTGCATATTTATCTTGTTTAAAACGATTACAATTATTTGTTTTTTCCGTTAATTCTTTTCTCCATTCTTCCGTTTGTGGTAATAAATCTTGTTTTAATTTATTTAATTCAATTTGAAATTTTTCTTCATCATTTTCAGCTTGTTTTAATTTTTCTTCTGCTTGTATAATTTCATTTGATTTTTCATTCGGAATATTTTCCCATGTTTCAATTTTAGTTAATTCTTGTTCATTTTGTTTTTCATATTTTTTTTCTTGATCAAAACTTGTTTTTATCTCATGTCGTATTGTTCCATCTTCAGTTTCATAATCAACTAAAGATTTTTTAAGTTTTACTAATTCATTGTTATTTTTATCATAAGATTTTTGTAAATGATTTAATTCATCTTGACTTTGTTTACATAATTGTTTTTTTCCTACACATTGTTCATTGGATTCTTTCATTTTCTCTTCTCGATCAGTATATTTAACAGTTAATGCAACTTCTTGATCACCTAATTCAAATCGTTTTAATTGTAACATTTTCGATTTAGCTAATTTATAATCATTATCACATTTAATAAAATCCAATGCATGTTGATAGGGACCATCTAATTGTTGAACTTCATTTTGTGCAGCTTTAACACGATTTTTCTATAAAAATTTTAAGTTTATTTTTTTTATAGAATAAAATATTTTCTACCTTTTCAGCCCACATTGCACTTAATTCTTCAACTTTAAGATTTAATAATTCTAATGGCTTTTTAAAACGTTCTGTACCAATAATATCTTCAAGATATTCAAGAAAACCTTGTTCATGTTCATTAGCAGCAATTGGTTTCATCATAGCAATTGATTCTACATCACCCTGGAATACGAAAAAGAATGTAACAATTCAGTTTTTTTCTGTCTGAAAATATACTTGAAGAATTAAATAACGACTATGATCAAGATCAACACCATATTCACGTAATAATTTTGTGACATCTTTTAATGAAACTTGTTTTTCATTGATTTTATAATGACTTGAATTATCCGGAAATGCAATACGTGTTATAGAAAAACGTATTTTTTCTTTTTCACCTTCAATTGCTATAGCTTCAAAATGTACCGTTACGGAACAACTTTTAACATTAGGACATTCAGCACTATTATGTAAGAGTGTACTTAATTTTGCACCACGCATTTTTGATGCTCGATGACCAATGACAAAGAGAAGTGAATCAATAACATTACTTTTACCACTACCATTAGGTCCAATAATACATGTAAAATGCTAGAATATAAAAAATAGATAATTATAAGAGGAAGTTTTTTTTTTATTTTTATACTTCATCGAATTGATCGAGTTGAATACGACCAGCAAATGATTTAAAATTATTAATTTCAATTTTCGTAATTACAAGACGATATTTAGGTGTTAAAAGAGCTTGAATATGTTCAGGTAATGGTGGTAATTCTAATGTTTCAACATCGATTTCTAAAATAAATAAATGAATTGATTTTAAAAAATGACGCTCTTCTTTTATTCATACCTTCTTCAGCAGCTTCACCTTCATCTCCTTGATGAGTCATGAGTACAAAAATATATCTGAAATAATCAGACTTTAATGAATAAAGCTTCGATGACAAATAGAAGACATGAACAAAAACGAAACGAACATTTCAAGATAACCAATAACACAAGAACTCTCAGTTCATTATGACCAATAGAAGTCGTATTCAACAAAATATAGAGGGCGCTAACTAATTATAAAACGATTCTGTCAATCTATGAATTAAATAGATTAGAAGTCAGTGTATATAATTTTGATAGTATATACACGTAACATCGAAGGTGTAGGATATGGAGGAGGTCGAGGTTCATCACGATTACTGCTTAAAGTTTCCCAGCGTAGTATATAACGAGTATCAGTAATATTATTATGACCAGAATCTTCGAGTATATGTACTCCTAATCCTGGAAAAGTACCTTCTACTTTCAAGAGTGATGGTGGTATGGTTTCTCGTTGAAGTTGACCAGTAGCATTCAAATTTTCTGGATTGATTGACCATGTACCATTACCAAATTTAATATGACTGAAAGTTTGCGTTAGATTTCCATCATTTTCTTTCGTTACTCGTCCAAGTGATATAGCAAAAGTTAACGTACCTCCACCACTAAAATCCCAATGCCACGGCCAATTCGTAATCTGATATTTTTGCCATATTCCATTTTCTAATCGTGCTGTCCATGGTTGTGTATAATTATTTGCATCATTTTTATGGTAACTTATTGTTACACGTCCCTGATGATCGAAACCAATTTTAGTATTACCATTGATCATTCCACCTTTTTGTGGTACTGGATCGATGATTTCACATGTTTCTAATGTAATTGGTAATATAAGAGATTTACCAATACTAGTTTCCCATGATATCAAATCTTTACTACGTGCATAACTAAGATCATGATTAGAAGAAGCATCTGGTGATTCACGCCATACCCAAACTAAATGAAAATAACCATCGGGACCTTTAATTGGACCATCAAAATATGCATTACGTTTGCCTTCACCATTAGTTAATGGTTTATCAAGTAAACGTTTCCATATTTTAGTTTTCAAATTGTACAAGTTATAAATTTGATTACCATTACCACTCATACCAGTACGATAAGTAAAAATAAATTCATTTCCTGGTCCTCGCATAAATATCGGATATGTAGTACGATTTTCATCGGTACCAATCATATAATTTAATTGTACAAATGTAGAAGCATTAAGTGGTTGTGCAGTACGAAAATATATCAGTGGTACTACATGCATATTACCACTTAAGTGTAAATAACCATCATCATCAATTGCCATTGCAATATAATTATGACTATCCCAACCTGTTATGATTGGTAATTTATTAATTGTCCAAATACGCTCGTTTATATTTCTTTGTGAAATAGTCATTTGACGTGTAGCATCGTAATATGCTATAAATTGATAAGGTAAATGTGTTAATAAAACAAAATTTACAGGATGTCCTGCCCATACTGGAGCAATATCAAGTGAATCGATTACGATAGCATGTTCAGTTCTATTATTTGTAAACAATGTGGACGTAGGTAGTATTACTATGAATAGAACAGTAACGACCAGTAGACACATATTATTAGATATCAAATGTGTGTTTATTTGAGTTACTTTTTTCTGCTTATCGGACAAACGAAATATCTTCTATGATAAAGTGTTAACAATAGATATATTTACGTACCTTGATATTTTCAAAATAGAAAACGAAATTTTTATTTCGAAAAACACAACAAAAAAAAATTATGAAATTGTTAATTGGCAATCGTATTCATATTTGTACTCAAACTTGAATCACTTTTACTTTCAATAATAGCATTATTGACTGATTCTTTTTTTATTAGTTGATCTAAAATAATAGACAAACTAATATAGAATTAATTATCGATTCATAGATAGAACAAACCTTTTCTTTTTTTCCATATAAAGTAAGTGAACATAGCAGCAAGACTAATCATTAAGATAAGTATTACTATACCAATAACTATAATAATTGATTGTTTCTGTTTTTTTTTCTTATCATCTTCCTCGAGTGCAACAACCGCATTAAATACATCATCAACATTTTCCACAATAGTATCAGCATTGCTCTTTAATAGCACTTCATTTGTATTGTTATGTACAGTTTCATCTACTGTTTCAATATGCATATCACCAAATAAAATAAATTCTTTATTTATTGGTTTTTTCCATTTAATTTTATGATCAAATACTAATTTATCTATTTTACCACCTAAATCTGTAATATATTTAACAATATCACTTCGACTACCAAGTGTAGCAACAAGTGCTTTTGCATCTTGTGGTTTAAGAGCTATTTGTGTTGAATTATCAATTATATTTGATGTTAAACCATTAAGATCAACAATATTTTCTACAAATGTTTGACACATATTATTATTACCAGCATCATATGTATAAAAATGTTTATCTATATTTGATGCTGTAGTTATCAATCGATTTAATGTAAATGTTTTATTTGATGTAAGTGGAATATCATAAATATCAACAAATTCAGTAGGAAAGACGGGTTTTAGAAGACGAACACGATGAGCTTTTTCAAGTTTATAAACAATACTACCCAGAGTATTTTTTTCACTTCCAAAAATTTGTTGTAATACTTTAGGACTTTTGTCATTCTGAATAGTAATAAGTAGATAATTATGATAGATTTCATCATAGCCAAGTTCAAGTTGTTTATTATTGAATTTCCATAAACTAACAATATTTAAAAATAAAATTAAAATAGCTTCAACTGGTGTCCGACCAAGTTGAATTTTGATTACAGGATTATCACCAACTTCTTCTAAAATTTTACGTATGTTCATAGGCATTTCAGGATGATATTTGGCAGCAATTAAATGATACTTGTTATCTTTCTTTGTCTATGAAAATAGATTTACAATTTAATCCGACTTAAACGATAAATACCTTTGTAAAGAATAAACTACTAGTGAGTATTGCAGTGTTGAGTAGTAATAATAATTGAATAAGATTAATAATCAATTTCATATTCAAAATAGAATAGAAAAACAAATATGAATGTAAACTATAATATTTGAAAAGTAAATTTACTTTATGAAATAGACAAGGCGCACTTTTTTAAAAGATGATATAAAAATGATACAAATATTATATTTTTGTTATGGAAAGTTAATACATAGATTGAGAAATTGTATTAAAAAATATATATAAAATATCGACTAAAAATTGCACCACGTGTGAATCTGCTTTACAATTCATCGACTTCTTGTATAATTTATAAAAGTTAGACACACCATGGTGAACAGTTTCCTTGTCGGTATCTACAGGAAGATTGAGGACTAAGACGTCTTTTACTCTTGCATCGATAATAAACAGTTTTTTCTTTCATCGGTATGGTTTATGCAATATTCTGACCATTGATTTTTAATTGATGCTATTGCTTTATCAATGGTATGAAATACATCTTCTTTGATCTAAACTTTAAGTTTCTTTTTTCTGTAGGTGTGGGTGGGTCGATATATATCTTCTCATTCTCCTCATCTACTCAGCTACACTCACAACCATCCTCAAGATGCTCTTTAAGAGCATTGAAAAAGAGTATTCAACAAGTTCTTCCTCTAATTTTTTTAGATTCAATCATTGAGGGGTGAGTGTGAGTGTGGATGTATATGTGGCTATAAGAAGAGTATAGTACCCACATTGACACCCACGCTCGTACGCTATTTTAACTACTTTTACACAAAGAACAACATGATAAGAGAATTATATTTGGATAAAAGGATAACGGCCCCTGATTATACGAATGTTCATCATTTCACTTCTATGACACAAAAAGATACATTATCTTTTTCTTTGTCTTATTTTATTTCACCTCTAAGACTGCGTAGATTTAAATTACATTGAGTTTCTGGTCTATCTAAAATTAATTTGTGAAATCGAACTTTACGTCTTTTGTATTCAAATAAAATGCTAACACAAGTATATAATAATTAGTTGCAAAATTCAATATCATTATATTATGAATTAAAAGTATTCTTGTTTTCAAATTAATCTTGAAAATGATCTTAGAGATAGATATCTGTATCAAATTGTTTTCTAATTCGATCATCTAGTTATGTTGAATAAAGACTTGTTAATCTATACAAAATATGAATAATATACATTTTATTGTAATACTTCTTAAATGATCAAAGATATATCTCATACTTTTTGATTATTTATTATTATTTTCTATTTCACATAAGTATTTTGAAATGAATAGAATATCCATATGAGATATATAGAAGTAAAATATATGTTTCAAAGAAAAAGGAATACAGAAATGCTCGTTGTATCTATGAATCTGTCATTACTACAATTATATTGTGAACACATATCGAATATCATACTAAAGAAAGTATCTCATTAAAAACTAATCGATTGATTTCTTTTAGTTTTCAAATATAATATTTGTGTGGATCTAAATATCATAGAAAATCTCTACTATTATTAAATATTCAATCTCTTTGGATATAGTAAACAATTTTAAGTAAACAAAAGAATTTAATAAAACTTAAACTTTAAAATGTTTTTATAAAAATACACTGTAAAAAAAAGTCAGTTTCAAACTACAGCAATAACATTAGAAGAACTATTAAAAAAGCATTATATAGTTAAAAAAAAGTAAAGAAATAAATGAAAAATGTCATATTAACAAGTTTTCATAAGAATATCAATATTACCATATCCATTATTAGTTGCAATAATATCAGTTAAATTATTATTGTCTATATCACCAACAGCAAGTGCAAATGGATGTGAATTAAAGCCACTAGAGAATATTTGTTGATTCATAAACGTTCCATTGCCATAACCAAAATACACACCGATATTACTAGTCCCATAACTAGCAACAGCAATATCTAATCGAGTATCGTTATTAAAATCGAGAATAACAACTGAAGATGGTTGAGAGCTAACACCACTAGAATAAGTTATTTGATTTGATAATGTACCAGTACCATTGCTAAGAAAAATACTAATGGTATTAATACCAGAATTTGCAACGACAAAATCTAATCGATTATCATTATTTAAATCAGCAACACTAACAGAACACGGTTGGGAAGCATTACCAGTTGAATATGTTATATCATCGATAAAAGTACCATAACCTGATCCGAATATAACTTTGACATTGTTTGTTGCATTATTAGTGATGACAACATCTAATCGAATGTCATTGTTAAAATCTCCAACAGCTATGGAAGTCACTTGAGAAGATGATCCAGTCGAATAAGCTGGTGCTTTTAGAAAATCTTCGTTAACATATCCATAAAACATACCTATATTATCGATATTAGAATTTGCGACGACAACATCGAGACGTTTGTCCTTGTTAAAATCACCAACAGCGAGAAAAATTGGCTGAGAATTCTCACCAGTTGAATAGGTCAATGGATCAAAAAAAGTACCATTAATACATTGAAGAAGAACACCTAAATAATTGGTACCAAAACTGACAAAGGCGATATCCAGTTGATTATCATTATTAAAGTCCTCAACGACTAATGCATTCGGAGCAGAGCCAATACCAGTTGAAAAAGTGATTTGATTATGGAAACTATGGTTCATATTTCCAAAAAATACACCGATATTGTCAGTGCCGGAATTGGTAACCGCAATATCTAATATAGCATCATTATTCAAATCACTGACGACGGCCCGTGTTGGCTGTGAATTACTGCCAGTCATATAATTAGTCAGATTGGAAAAAGTACCATCACCATTCCCATAAAAAATACTTATACTGCCAAGATCATAATTGGACACGACGATATCTAATTGATTGTCGTTATTAAAGTCACCAGTAGCGACTGATGCTGGAGAAGCAATACTGTCAATTAAGTATATAACTACATCAAAAAAATTACCATTGCCGTGTCCTAAAAAAACACCCATTCCACCAGTGAATTGAAGAGAGACGGCAATATCTAATCGACTATCATTGTTAAAATCTGCAACGATGACTCCACATGGACCGGAATTATAGTCAGTATTAAAAATCGTTTGATTTGTGAATGTACCATCACCATATCCAAGAAAAATACCTATATTGTTACCCCAAAAATTAGCGACAACTATATCCAAATAACTGTCATTGTTCAAATCAACAATAGTAATCGCAATTGGCAACGACCCGAACCCAGTCGAATATGTTGTTTGATTGGAAAAGGTATCATTGCCCAGTCCTAGAAAAACACCCACATTGCCACTGCCTGAATTGCCTGACACGAAATCTAACCACCCATCATTATTTAAATCAGCAACAACTACTGCTCTTGGGGTAGAACCTGTGCCTGTGGACAATGTTATTTGTTTTTGAAAACCTCCAGTATCGTATTTGATAAGTGTTACTACCCTATCAGTGCCAGAATCAATAACAGCAATATCAAGTTTCTTATCATTGTTGAAATCACCAATAGTTACTGCTTGTGGAATTGAACCAACTCCAGTTGAATACATACTTAAATTTGTGAAACTACCATTTCCATATCCAAAAAGAATACCTACATTTTCAGTTGCAGAATTAGCCACAATAAGATCTAGTTCATTATCATTATTGAGATCATCAACAACAACTGAAGTTGGAAAAGATAAGTCACCAGTGGAAAATACTATTTGTAATGGAAATGTTCCATTTGTATAGCTTAAAAGTACTCCTACATTACTTAAATCATAATTTGCTATGACGATATCTAATTGACCATCATGATTGAAATCACCAAGCGCTAAACCATGTGGATGTGGAGAGGATCCAGTTGAATATGTATCTTCAAGTATACCATTCATATAAGAAGATCCGAGAAAAACACCCATCATATTCGTACCAGTATCGGCGACGACAATATCTAGAATGTTATCATCATTAATGTCAGCAAGAGCGACCGCATTTGGACAAGAATGGTCACCAGTTGAATAAGTTCTTTGAACAGGAAACGCTCCACCACCTTCTCCAATAAATACAACAACATTGTCAGTGAGACAATTAGCTACGACGATGTCTAATTGATTGTCGTTGTTTACGTCACCAATAGCAATTGATAATGGGTGAGAACCACTACCAGTAGAATATGTATTTCCTTTGACAAATGTTCCATTACCGTATCCAAAGAAAATAAGAATAGTGTTACTAGAATCGACAGTAACTATTATATCTTGGTGATCATCATTATTCACATTACCGATAGCAATATCATATGGATTAGTGCCGGATGGAACCAAATAGATGATTTGATCTGCAAAAGTACCATTGCCATATCCAAGAAATATGCCCATATTGGGACTGTAAGAATTAACGACTGCTATATCTAATCGACTGTCATTATTAAAATCGCCAATAGCAATAGATTGAGGTGTAGAACCATACCCAGTTGGATAAGTCTGTTGGCTGGAAAAAGTACCATTCCCATATCCCAGAAATATACCTATATTGAAACCATAATAGTTAACAACGGCAATGTCCAGTTGTCCATCATTATTAAAGTCACCACCAACAACATCTGATGGTGTAGAGTTGCTGCCAGTCGAATAGGTTGTTTGACTTGAGAAAGTACCATTACTATACCCAAGAAATATACCAATATTGCTTGTTCCAGAATTGGCAACGACAATATCCAGTTGTTTATCATTATTAAAATCACCAGTGGTAACTGAATATGGTCGAGAATAGTTGCCAGTTGAATAAGTTATTTGAGTTGAGAAATTATCATTACCATAATCCAGAAATATACCAATATTATTTGTTCCAAAATTGGCAACGACAATATCCAGTTTCTTATCATTATTGAAATCAGCAATAGCGACTGAACCCGGAGCACTTCGAATGCCTGTTGAATAGGTATTTTGACTTAAGAAAGTATAATTTCGATATGTCAGAACAATATCAACATAGTTGTAATCGTAATTGACCACGGCAATATCTAATTGATTGTCACCATTGAAATCACCAGCAGCAATGGCATATGGATTAAAATTGGAACTAACACTGAAGAATATCATTTGATCTCTAAAAAATCCATTTCCATATCCAAAAAATATACCCACACTTTTATTGTCATAGTTTGCTACAGCAATATCAAGTTTAGTATCATTATCAAAATCACCAAGTACAAGCGATAATGGAAATGAATTATTGTTAGTGGAATATTTGTATGGTATTGTGAAACTTCCATTTCCAAAGCCTAAGAGGACATCAATTGTATTTAAGCCAGAACAAGCAATTACGATATCCATATAAGTATCATTATTTAAATCATCAACAACAACTGAATGCGGTTGAGATTTAAATTCAGTACTAATTATAAATTGCGCTTCGAATGTACCATTTCCATGCCCGAGATATATACCAACATTGTTAGTACCATGATTTGCAACAATAATATCAAGTTTATTATCATTGTTAAGATCAGAAACGACAAGTGAATATGGAACAGAATCATAACCAGTTGAAAATGTTTTCGGTGTTGCAAAATTTCCAAGACCATCTCCAAAAAGAATACCTATATCATTAGTACCATAATTTGCAACGACTAGATCGATTTGTTTGTCATTGTTCATATCACCAACAGCAATCCATAATGGTCGAGATGAGCCAGTAGAAAAAGTAATTTGTGGCATGAAAGTACCATTACCAGTTCCAAGAAAAATACCAATATTATTGGCACCATAATTAGCTACAGCTATATCTATTTGTTGATCATGATTGAAATCACCAACACAGACTGCATATGGAAGTGAATTGAAACCAGTTGAATATGTGATTTGATCTCTAAATGTAGTATTGTCCTGTCGAAGAAATATTCCTAAACTACTTGTACCAGAATTAGGAACAACAATATCAGGAAGATGATCATTATTAAAATCAGCAACGGCAATAGCGTGGGGATGAGAATCACTAACAATTAAACTTGGAGCTTCCGATTTCAAAATAAACGTACATGTTTTACCTAAACAATGTAAAAGATATGATTCGAAATAAAATAAAGTCTAATTATCTTTGTTGACTTTCTATAACTAAAGTTCTTTTCTATGATAAGAATGTAAGTAAATATGATTGAATGAGTATGCGAGTTGTATATCATACCTAATGGTTTTGGTGATGAAAAATAAACTGTAAGAATGCTAATCATCATCGATATGCATGTAAACATAGCAAACATGAAGACGAGTGTCTTGGAATTCGGCTGATACAGATGATGCCGTAGTCTAATGATGATACATATTAGTTATTAATGAAAATAAAATAAACATAACAAACATGAAAACGATTTTCTTGAAATTCGATTGATCATTTAGTCTAATGATGTTAAATTTTAATTTTACATGAAAATAAAATAAATCAGACATACTTCTTTGATGGAGTCGTAACGGTTTTGGGGAGAACATTGGGTATAGTTTCGACAGGATGTTGGTCCTGAATTGAGTATGAAGTTCTTCTTGGATTGATACCAGAAGATATTTGATTATTTTGATGCTCTAATGGTAACATTTCAATATCCATAGAAGTCATTTTAATCTATAATAAAAATATTATTAAATGGAGATTTGTCGTTTGAATCAAATCAAACTCACAATTTATTATATATTTTTCTCATTTCATAATTATAAAACTAATATTTTAATTAATCGTCTCTATCTTCTAGTTATTGTAATCATTTTTACTATTTGTTTTCATAAGTTTGTTTTTTCTCACCTTATATTTGTTGACGAAGAGAAAACTTCATAAAACTAAAAATTCTTTATTAATATAAACATTAGTTATTGTTTAATATTTGCCTTATTATCTCGATGTATGTGTATAATATTTCATACGAATATTAGAAAATAATACAGATATATAATAGTAAACAAGTATAAAATTATATTTAAATAACAAAGTTGAAGGGTAAAGTTAACTAATAAAATAAAATAAATAAATAATGATATGAATAAAATGTATTTAGTTTATGAAAAAAGAAATATATAAAACAACGCAAAAAGTTTCATACTGATTAAAGGTGAAGTAATTATGTCTATCGAACTATGAAGCATATTTTTTTATATCATTAAGTAAAATAAGATATTTTTCTCATTAAAAAAATACCTTTCATATTGACGTTTAAAAACATTTTCTAGATATAAACACCCACGATATAATTTGTTCACTTGAAGAAATCAAAAATCCCGAGAGAAAAATGAATATTATTTTTTTCGAAAATATTTTTTATTACTTAATAAGAAATCTTTTCAAATCTATTAAAGTCAAACTAATATTTCTTATTATATAACTCTAGAAATATACATAATTCTTATAGTTTTTAAGAAAGAAAATTTATATCGAGAGGGATTTTAACTAACTATTACGTATTAAATATTGTATTCTCATAAAAATACATCACCCTTTAGCTGCAAATGTTTTTGACAAAAAATAATGTATTCTTATTCATGTTTTTACTTTACTTGTCATGTATTGTTGTATTATGGTCCAATGACTGTTTAATTTCTATCATTCCTATTATGTCTATTCATTCATTATTATTCGTTTTATCCAAGTTTACATGAAAGAGAATAATAAATCATAGCTGAAACAAACCATGCCTATTGTCGAATATTATTGTATTTTGTTTAGATCAAAAATATATGATAAAAATAAAGAAAAAAACAAATACGAGATATCTTATAGTATTATTATAAATTGTATATACATTAAAAAAAATCATATATGTAATTATGATCAATTAATAAATCTCTCATATTTATTTTTATATTACTTTTCTATTTCTTCTGAATTAATTCAAATAAAAAAAATATTTAAACAAGTTGAATACAATCGATATTTTGTTATTGCAAAACTAAATGAAATATTTGTATAGATTTTTTGTTTTGAATACATTTTGTAATGTATATAATCTGAATAGATATTATTCATCGTTTATTTTATTTGGCATATTATTGCTTCGTTTTATATTATGACAATTTCGATGATTTATTATTTCTTTTATCATATCTTTTCTCTCCTTATTTACTTTCGATGACCTGGATGCTGAGTACTCTCTATATTTTTATTTTAAAAGTGTCAAAGTTAAAGTATATTTTTTATATTAGAAATTGTATAAAGTCATATAAGGAAGGAATATCTAATTACGATTAGAAAATACATACATATGTATTTTAATATAGTGAATATTCTATTATTATTGTTAATACTTATTTTATATCTTATATCATTTGAAATCAAAAATACATTTCCATTTATGAACAGATATGTATGTGTAATATTTCTAATAAAACACAATTTTTATTAAAATAATATATTATTTATATGAAGTCTTCTATTGTTCGCTTTTAGTTTTAAAATGAATTTGTCTGTATGTAAAATTTTATTAAATAATTTAATCATTGAATAAATTTAAAAAACTAATCTACATAGAGAAAATCAGCAATTAGCAAACACAAAAAATTTTAAATAACAAAAAGAAATCATTTTAACTTTATAAAATTGATTAATACAAAATTAACTCTTGTTTATTATTCTTACATTTTCTAAATTTGATTTATTTTTCAAGATAAATTTCTATAAAAAAAAATAAATATTAGAATTAGTTAATAAAATATTTCTAATAGAAATAATTTATATTTGCTTTTATGTTTTTTTTTTCAATATGAGTTAAGTAAACAAAATATACATGTGATTAATAAAAGAACAAAAAAAATATAATTATATGATAATAACTATTATTTTTTTCTACTATTAGATACTGCACAGTAGAATATGAAAAATTTGATTAACTAAAATAATATTTATCATTCTGTTATTATACAATAGAAATTATATAAAAGAAACTTTCTTATTTTTTTTTCTCATAAAAACTTAATAAACTAATTTGTATTTTGTATTATTAAGTTTTCGTAATATTTATCAAATAAATAATCTTGATAAAATATGAAATCTAATGACTAATATTATAATAGTTTTATTTATCTTTTAAAACTACCAATTTTCGTAAAATGATCTTTTTATTTTTATTTACTTGATTATTGAATATATATATCAGAATTTAAAAATCAACAGAATGTTTTATTTTGATTTTCAGAATTATGAATATTTTTAGACATGATATTACTTGAGTTGAAATTATCATTAATAACAATTATCTCGAATTAATAATAAATATTTGTTATATTTAACGAAGTATTTTATTTCAATACAACTGAAATATTATTAATGATGAAAATTTTGTAAAAATATTCCTATGTATTAACCTTTCATATTATTAATAAACTTTAATCAAGATAATCCATATGAAAATTATATTAAATTAAACCTTTTCTCTTTTTCTAATTTGATTGAGACACTTAATTCAGTTGAATGTTCAAAACTGAATACTAACATTCATACTGAAATGTAAATCAATTTAAAATTTTCGATTCAACTTTGTTTTAACTGGGAAGATAAATTGAATTGTTATATTTATATATAAATTTTGTAATTTATATTAAGCGATAATCTCATGTATTTACAATTATAAATAAATTATTTCTATTTTCTTCGAGAATGATTCTGTTTAAATACAATACTCACTAAAACTCTTGTCTCTATTTTTTACTTGGATCGATCATTCTTTCAAAAGATACATTATGAAAAGTTCCGTTAAATTTGTATAAAAGAATTTCTATTAATGTAGCTATTTTGTTCTAGAATAATAAATAAAAGTACTAAAAAATGATTCAATTTGGTAATTTTGTGTAGCGAACAACTGTTCACACAAATGCAGAGTGAGAGTGTGCTTAAGTGTTGAATACAAGATCTATACCCACAAGCATCCTCTAGCAATCATCGTTAAAAAGTTTACGTTTGCTTTCGAACTTTGATAAGATTTAGAAAACTATGACATAAAATAAAAGGTTCAGCGAATCCGTAAGATGAGCGCTATTCGTTGATGAATTTGTCGTTGAAAACTTCTTATTGATTCTTGAAATTGTTTTTTATACATTTGCGATGGTAAAATAAATACTACGAAAATTAAAACCGATGGAATAAATGAAATAAAATAGCTTAATATGTATAGCCAAGGATTACGATATGCTTTAACACAATTAGATAATAACGAAATAATTAAACGAGGTAATGAAAGAATAATAAGACAAATGGGACTAATTATTAGATGTTTGTGTTCTTTCAATTGTTCATAAAAATGTTCGCTGTAAGACTGTCGTATTCGAACTGTTGCTCGTTGACGACTTGATTGACAAATAATATATAGAGCAGAAAATAAATTTGCTAGAAATGGGCAAAGAAAATGAAAAAATAATATAAATGTATTATAAGCTTGAAAAAAATGAGAATAATGAGCGACACACCAAATACGTTCTTCTTCACTATCATCAAATAGATCACGGTAGAAAAAGTCATGAACAATCGTTCCCATTATCAATAATGGTAAAAGGATAATTATACGTTTAGCAATATATTTACTTTTCGTCGCATTGAAATTGATACCTTTAAAAATAGTCACTGATCGTTCAATAGCCACACATGCATATAACCAACTATCATAATACAAAAAGAATTTAAGAAAATTTTCGATAAATACACATTCTATACGAAGAATAATTCGACTTGAATATATATTGATTTGAGTAAGAACAAGAAACCAAAATTTTAACATAAGAATGCTCACTGTTAGACATGATGTAATTGATGATGTAAGAAGATATATACCACAACCAACTTTTCTACAGTTCCCGTTAGAAAATACTAATAATGAAAGAAAACTATTGATCAAACCCAAAACAAACATGATTATTGTAAGAGCTAAAGTTATTTTAATCGGTAGTGATTGGTTCATCAAAGATACATCTGGTCGAATTTCATATCGTAAAATATCATTTAGTGTTAATCCAATACCTTTAGCATAGTATTGACAACGATTACCAAAATAACAATCTTTACAATTGCATAATGTTTTTCTTGGACAATCAGGTACATCGACGAGACATTCTCCTCCATTTAAACAGTGAAAATTAAATCGACACGAATGCATTTTACTTAGCTCATTATGTTGAAATTGAAAACAATTAGCATGACGATCTCGAGTACATAAACACATATAAGATTCATCAAAAAAACACCAAAGATGAGGATAATTTTGACACATAGTATGATAATATTTCACTCGACGAATTTGTGGCATAAATATTATTTCTGGCTTTAATACTTCATTAATTGAAGAACATCTTTGATTAGAACTAATTGATGTTGAAAAATTAGCTGATTCAATCAATTGAACAGCAGCTAAATAATAATGATTATTAGTTTTTACGATAACAATATTCCAGTTACCATTATGAGATAATATAATAACGTTTTGAAACATTTTCAATGTCTTCATTATCCATCTTTGATATGGTGCTTGCTTATTTCTTACGGAAATATAATGGATGATGGCATAATTTGTCGTTTCTATGTTGTTCAATGATATTTCTAATTTATACTTATCTTGCATTTCACATCTGTTCCCATAAAATGATTCGGGACAAATACAATTATATGAATTAATCATTGATGTTGCATCCGTCACTAAACATTGACCATTATTTTTGCAGAAATCTAATGGACATTTATGTTTTAGTAGACAACGTGAACCAAATTTGTTTACTGGACAAATACAAATCGATCGTCCTCTAAGTGATCCAATACAAATTGAGTCTAACGAACAATCGGCACAATTAGTTCGAAAACTACAAGAAATACCAGACCAACCAGGATTACATCGACAAAAAAACTTTTCTACATTAATATATTTTGTACATTGACCATTTTGACATGGATATAAACATTTATTTGAATTTAATGTTTGATCAGTAGGCACAACTAATTGAGCACTTAATCGATTAACAGGTAAAAATAGAAATGGAATTTTTAAATACCAACTTGCAAGATAAGTTAATGAAAATAGATTATATGCATCAATATGTACAATATATTTTTTCGTCTTATTCTTTAATCGATTTAGATATAATAGATACATATTAAAATTAAATGGACATTGTTCTTCACGAGGGAGATAATAAATTTGTGAATATGAATTAATTTCTCTTCTATCATCATCATCATCGATTAAAGTAACAATAATCTTATAAATTCCATAATAATTATTTGTCATTAATTTTAACGAAAGACTAACTCTTTCATTTTGATATTCACATAAATCACCATAATAACTTGGAGGACAAAAACATTTAAAACTGTAATTATCTCCTCCAAGCCAAGCACGAGCATAAAGACCACGATTACAACGCCAGGACCATCCATTATTATCATCATTAACTGTATCAAGTTTGTTGTTTATCATAATCGAATGTTTTGATGGTTGATTATCGATATAGTTGATCATTTTAAATCTATGTGAAGGATAGATTGGACAATTTTCTAATGAGAAATATCTGTTGACTAAACTTTTAAGTTGACAAAGAGTAATTTCTACATTGCTTCGATTATTACGTATGAAACTATTACAGCTTTGTTGAATATTTTTACAGAATGCTTCATCATCACCAGACGAACAATCTTTATAATTGTTACATAATTTATCAGATTGTAAACATTTATCTTCATTCAAACAATGATAATGATTGGCATCGTTAGATATTGATTGCATTTGTAAACATTGACGAAGTTCATCCGATCCACCAAGACAATCGATTATTCCATCTTCAATTCTCGTTACTGATAAACATAAAAATGTTCCATTATATGGAGATATACATGGATGAGATGGAAAATTACAAAGAGATTTTGAACAATTTTCTTCATCTTTACCGTTTTCACAATTCCAAAATAGATTACAACGTGTATAAACATTACTGCATGGCCAATAATCACATTCTGTTTCATCGGTATGATTTTTTCCATTAATTGTTTCAGGTAATAAATGAACAATTCGATCACATATTTCATGAAATGATAAATCCGATAATTTCATTGGTGAAACAATAGAAGGACAGATTTTTGGAAAAAATAAAGAATAACATATGTTCTCATTCGGACACTTAAATCGATGAGTATTATTCATTGTACAACTTAATTCAAATTGTTCTTCATCATCATTTAAATAACAATCGGATATTCCATCAAGAATTCGATGTTTTGAAATACATTTCGAAGAATTTTTACAACAATATAATGAACTTTGTTTAATAGAACGTTCTTTTTTATATGTAGTTAAACACCCATCAAAATATGGTTTTATCGTATCAATAAGAGATTTCCATGTGTTATATGTAACATTTGATTTAAATCCCATTTGATAACCCATTCGACAAGTTTTAGTTTTATAATGAAATGTTGGTTGGAGAAAATCACATAGTTGTTCATCAAAACAGACATAAGTTGGTGGGAGAGCTAATTTCATATTGATCATTTCTTCGTCTATTTGATCATATAAAAAACTTACATGACCAAAAAGAACCGGAATTGTTGGAAATTGAGTATGAGAATCACAAGTCTGGAAAGAGTTGAACAGACTTGATGAATTGACAAATTTTTGACAGGTTTTTTTGTCAATACTATTTTTAATCTTTGTAAGACAAATCAATGCTAACCAACATTCTTCAGATAAATTTCCTTGAACACTTATTGATTCAATTAATAAATAATGACGACCATTATCACAAGGAGCAAAATCTTCAACACATTGTCCATCACCACACGGAAATTGTTTTCGACCAGGTTGACATGCATGTTCTTCGCAGATAAAAGTTGGATCTGTAAAACACTCTGAGAAATAATAATTAAGAAACATTGTCCCCGATCGATCGAGACAGTCTGTTAAGTATTGTTCATTATTCGATATGTCTGTCGATAAACATAATCCATTGTGACATCGATATTCATTTTCTTCACATTCGTTTATTTCCAATTGAAAACATTCTTCTTCATCTACACCTCCGTTCAAACAATCAATTCGGCCATTACATATTTCACGCCAATCGAGACACATTATTGTACCACCACGATCACATTTAATATTTGTATAACACGTTCGATCAGCTATGTTTTTATCAGATCCATAATCCTCTTTTGCTGAGAATGCTTTGGAAAGAATCATTAACCATTCATTAGTTTCATATAATTCAAATGAATATTGACATTGAGAACCAAACCATGGTTCTTCGCATTCTACATATAATATTTTCGATGATGAAGATGAATTATCACTTTTTTTATCGAGAAAATCTTGATATTTTTCAGCAAGATCAATTGTTGATGATAAAGAGATCAATTCTCCTGTAGTAACACCTAAATCACGTAGCTGGCCAAATGTATAATTTTTGTCTCGTACATTAATAAAATCCAAAATCAATGGATTTGCATCGATTGGACGAATACAATATTCAATCATTTGAAATCGTTGGTAGCCAACATTAGGTCCATCTCCTGTATAATCGGTTCGATAATGTCGTAAACAATCAAATTCAAAATTATTAACATTATCACTTTGATAAGTATTATAAAGATTGAAATAAAGAACACATTCAACTATTCTGTACAACAACAATGTTGATACCAATATATTATTTATCATTTTTTAACTGAAGACAAATTTGTTCACTAGAATAACAT